CCTCGCAGAGGCAGAGTTTGCAAAGCGCCTGGCTGGGCCTCGGGGCGGCAGGTGCGGAGAGTCACAATGTGGCTGCAGAGGCACCGTGCTCTGCACAGCCGCTAGGTGCAGGGAGGGTTTCCCGCTGTAACCCTGCACCCCAGCTGTACCGCCTGGGAATTCAAAGCCACCTGGGAAAGCAGCTGCCAGCACTGAGCCCCAGCAAAAGCCGGGTTCCTGTGGGCCGGCCTGAGGAGAAACCCCCACTCAGCTTGTTCCTTGCTGGCATTTTCCTGGTGAAAGCCTCTCCCCATCCCTGATGTTTGTGGGGAAAACAAACTGCAGAGCGCGCCCCACAGCCATAAGAGCCACCGGAGTTTACGTTAATTCGTTCAGGGACCATGTAGATGTGAGTTTCACAGCAAGTCGACTGACCTTGTGTCTGACAGCTGGCTAGTAAGGGAGTATCCCAAAATACCTGTCCCGTGTCTTAAGAGCAAGCCCGTTATTTCACTATTCCGATGTCCTTCTAAACCCCGTTCCACGAGGAGCAAGGGACGCTTCGGATCAGGCGGTTATTTTACACAGCACCAGGTTTTGAAATAAGCTATTTTGAAATGAGATCGAAATAAGATGTGCAATTTGCATGGCTCACATTGGGTATCTTGTTTCAAGCCACGGTGCCGTGTAGACGCACCCCGGATGGGTGAACACTGGAATCCCACAGGGATTGAAGAGCACGTGCTGCAAAGAGCAGCAGGAGAGACGTCAAAGGTGCCACAATCTGAGTATCACTGACCCGGGGAGGGGTGGGGGGGGCTCTGAAAATTCACAAACAGCCTCTGCCTGGCCCCCCCTGCCCCGACCCAGTAACCTGGAACAAAATCTTGCCCCTCGTAGAAGGTTTTTCCCTCTTCCCCTTTACCTGACGTGTGTCCAAGGAGTGAATCCCAGCAGCCCTCGGTGCCACTGGGACCATGGTGCCCTCCCTCCCCGCACCTCAGAGCTGCTCCAGTGGCCATTTAGAAGGCCCAAGGCTTGGGCTTTTCATCCCTGCCTGTGAGCCGGTCGGGCTCTGGGAGAGGTGCCTCCCCCTCGGGGTCAGGGGCGGCCACTCCGCCCCACAACACCCTGTTTAGTCTTTTGGGGAGTTAACGGTGGCTTTGGTCTGGAGCCCAGGCCCTTGCTCAGGGCGGGCGGCAACAAATAGTTCAAAGCCCAGCCTGGGGCGGCCAAACAAACACACAGACCAACAGTCTTAGCGGGAGCACCCAACTGGATGCCTTGCTCAGGCGAGGTCCAGGCTGCGGTTCGGGCACAGCCGAGGGGCAGACTGCCGGCCAAGTGTGGGGGCCCACCCACTCCACCAAGTCAGCAGGCCTGCCTCACTTTTCTCCTCAGAGACGGCAAACGGCCTCTCTGCCGGGGCCCGAAGCAGAGGGGAGGGGGAGGGAGAGGGGCAGGGCACCAGCACTGGGCTTAGCATGTCTCTGCAGTTTGGGGGGGAGGCGCAGGGAAACAGCTCAGTTGGACTGCGAGAGTGAAGAGGTGCGGGATGCTGAGCTGGGCTGCGGGGTAAGGGGAGGAGGTGTGGAGCTCAGAGCTCAGTTTGACTGCAGGAGGAGGGAAGTGCCAGGAACCTGGGGCTAGACTCAAGGGGCGGGAGGGACAGGAAATCAGAGCTGGGATCAGCAGTTCTGTGGGGCTTGGGGGGAGGTGCAAGGAAATGGGGCTCAGCTGTGCTGTGGGGGAGGCATGCAGGGAACCAGTGCAGGGCTCAATTGAGCTGAGGTGGATGGGGGAAGGCACAGGGAACAGAAGGGCAGCAGCTCAGCTGGGCTGTGAGGGGCTGTAGAGAACTGGTGCTGCACTCCCTTGGATTGTGGGGGATGGTTTTGGGGGAGGTGCAGGGAACCAGCAGGGGTGGAC